AGTGTTCTGTGCAATCATGCTGGCCACATTATCACAGAGTAGTCTCTGGCAATGCTGGCTTTGGAGGTCTTTAAACAGAGGCTAGATGGCTCCCTGTCGGGGGTGCTTTGATTCTGTGTTCCTGCATGGCAGAATGGGGTTGGAATGAATGGCACTTGAGGTCTCTTCCAGCTCTATGGACGTTATCATACGTGGGCCAGAAATCGAAAATAAAGTGGAAATGAGGTATCCCGAAAATAAACAGGAAATAAACCTTGTTTCCGCAAACGTCATTACCTTCATTGCGAATTTACAGTAACTGCATTGAACGTCCACACACAAGAGAAAAAAACCCATAAATGTAGCAGAAATGAGCCTCCTGCACATGCGCAGATAGAGTAATGCTCGCGGGAACCATGGGTAATGACGGGGAAATGCTCCCCAATACGTATTTGGCGATCATATTTACGGTAAATGCGTAATCATCTCATTGCGCAATTGCATTTCCTCAAGAAACCGAATTTCAAAAGATCTTGGTTCTTTCCACTTTCTGTCCACTTTCTGTCCTGGACCTGTGCGACGTCGTGTGAAAACACGGGCCAATAATCCGGTATCGGTCGGGATTTCGTGTGGATTTTGTTTGGATTGGGCCCCGTGTGATAACGTCCTATGATTCTACTAACCTGATCGCTGTCTAGTTTCCAATATCTGTGCCCACTTCTGCTTTGGAGGACAGAAAGATAGAAAACATTGCTGTTTTACAATTACTACATCAAGAGATTTAAATTTCCCATCTCTGGAAACTTTCAGTCTGTTCTTGGGGTAAGAGACAGCAAGACAGTAGCTTCAATTTTCCAGTTCCTCACTGAAGGAGGGATGAATGGAACCAGACACAGACACACACTATTTGTGAGATTCAATCATGTTGAACTGTATTTTTGATCTTAAAAATTTCATTTTGTTCCTTCTCTCCAGAGGACCCCTCTTGGTTTCTGACTTTTGTTGTCTCCTCTTTTGTAGAGAATGTTGTGTATTATGTGTTATAAAGGAGAATGCTGGGGATTATAAAAGTTTAAGAGGACATATTTGTTACAATCCCCTAATCCAGGGGTTGGCAACCTAAGGCCTCGGGGGGGGGGGAAGAAAAAAAAAAAAAAAAAGAGGATGTGGCCCCCCGAGGCCTTGGACCGGCCCTAGGCTGGTCCTGCCGCCGCCGCCGCCACCACCACCACCATGATATTGATTATTGTGTTATTACTTGTTCTTGGGGTTTTCTTGGCAAAATCTTCGCAGGGGTTTTGCCATGGCTTTTCTGGGGCTGAGAGAGTGTGCATGCATATTTATTTATTTATTATTATTTTAATATTTTATTTATTTGTTTGTTTTTGGTGCTTCGGCCCTCCCAATTGTCTGAGGGACAGCAACCCGGCCCCCGGCTCAAAAAGGTTGCCTATCCCTGCTCTAATCCATCTGTTCTGTGGGTTGAGCAGGTTTTGCTTCACCTGTTGTGGGATAATTGTAATATTTTTTATATTGCCTCTTGTTACTGAATTGAGTGTCACCATTGGAAAGTGGGGAATGAAGTTAGTAACAGTAAAAATGCTTTAAGTTCTTTTTTTCTTTGTTTAGAAAGATATCCAGATCCGACTGCAGAGCTTGAAGGAGGAGAGAGAGACTCTGTTGGGATTAAATCTGGCTGGAGAACTTAAACACCAGGAATATCTGGTCAGTACAGGATCTGGTAATAACAGTCTGGCAAGGGTTGTGGTCATTGGTGTATTTTACCTGTATGGTATGCTTACTTGTATGAAGTATGCTACAACATGAATCATGGAACCATGCATTTAGCACATACGTACTTTCCCTTAATCATTCATTTTGTGTTGATTCCTTGCTAGGCCATATGGGAGAATCAGATAAATTGCAAAATGATTGTGTGTGGCACAATAATAAAAATTTGCCAAATCCTGTAGGATACCTTGCCACCCTTCTAATGTCTCCTGTATTTCTAGTTCCCCTTAATTATGTGAACAAACTATGAGCAAAGGGATCTTGTTGCACCTTTGAGACTTAACTGAGGAAGTAGGCTTAAGCCTATGAAAGCTCATGCTCCCAGCTTTTTTCTTTCAATTAGGGGCTGTACAGATGGCCCCAAAGGAGCGGCTTGCTGCCGTCCCTTTGCTTACCAGATTAGGGCCGCAGCAACTGCATGCTGTGGCCCTAATTCTGCACTTTTCCGCCCCCAAAAGAAGCAGCAAAATGTCACCCCTTTGGGGAGTGGGAAAAAGCTGCTCTTGTTGCCGGGGCATTTTTCCTGTGTTTCTTCGGTGCAGCGTGTTTAAATGCTGTGCTGGAGAAATACCGTGATCCACCTGCCGTCTAGTCAGCCGGGTGGCTTCCCAGCAGCTTGGAGGTGGAGTAAGGGCATGTGGCATGCAATTGCCATGCCCCCATTCCATCCCAATGCTGGCGTTTCTTGCCAGTCTGTATAGCCCCTTAGTCTCAAAGGTGCTACAAGATCTCTTTGCATATATTACAATAACTTTATTATGGTCAAAGACCAGCAAATCAAAAATAAAATAACACATATAACAAACTATTCAGTTTTAAAAAACAGAGAGATAAAATCATGCTAATAGCAGATTAAAATCTATGCCATAAGAATAGTTCAGGTAAAATAGCAAAAGAATAATCACATTCAAGGAAGTAATATGTGTGTGTGTGTGTGTGTGTGTGTGTGTAAAATAAATTGTTAAAAAGAAACTGATGACATACTAGCAGAGATATCTTAACAGGATCTGCTATTTTTCTGCAAGTGATAGCAGATGCACAAAACTGTGCTACCCTATATGTGATTCATGAGTTCTAGTCTGATTTTCCAGACTAACATGGCTAGGTCTTTGAAAACTACAAGCAAGTCTACCTTAAATATGGTTGGTTGGTGGTTGTGTGCCCTCAAGTCGTTTCCAACTTACGGTGGCCTGAAGGCAAACCTATTGTTTTCTTGGTAAGATTTGTCCGCCGGGAAGGTTGCCTTTGGCTTCCTTGGAGGCTGAGAGAGTGTGACTTGCCCAAGGTCATCCAGTGGATTTTCATGACTGAGCAGGGATTCAAACCCTGGTCTCCCAGAGGTATAGTCCAATATTCAAACCACTACACCACGTTGTCTCTCACCTTGAATATAGGTAATCCTTAATCTCTGGTTGCAGTGATTGCCAACCTTGGGTGTCAGATATTGTTGAACTACTCTCAGCATTGGCCATGCTGCCTGAAACTTCTGGGAGATAAAGTCCAAGCAGGATTGCGTCTGCCCTCATCCCTCACTGGTGGGTCTACTCTAATCATGACTCAGTCTGGATGCATCCTGTTACAATTTGTAGCAAGGTTGCAGAATCATAATGAGCTTTCTGATTTTAAGACATTGAATGAAACAGTTGAAAGAGCATGGGAGAAACATTCACTTTTTAAATATAAAGTGTACCTTGAACTGCGTTGCCAGTGTGAAACTAGAATGTTAGATATTTTACTAGAATGTTAGATATTTTTATTTATCCTTGTGTTCACCTTGTACACTGGGAAAAGGGTGGGATATATATACATTCCAATATTTCTTATCCATGTGTATTTATTTAGAAGATGTCATCTAACACAGAATCCAAGTATTAAAAATCTACTTATCTTTCCAGTGCTCTAACCTATGTATATCCTACTTTTATCTCCTCTGTATTATAGAGGCAAACAGAAGCTGAGAGACAGAAGACTACATCTGAATTTGAGCAAATCCATCACTTTCTGGAAGAGCAAGAAAAGCTCCTGTTGGCTCAGCTGAATGAACTGGAGAAGGAGATTGTTAAGCATCAGAAAGAACACAGCACAACATTTTCTGATGAGATTTTGTCTCTCACTGTGGTGATCACTGAGGTAGAAGAGAAATGTGAACAGCCAGACAGTGAATTCCTTCAGGTGAGACCAGGTGGTTCTTGAGAGAGAAAGCCTGAAAAAAAAGATGAACAAAATATGTTGACATATATGTATTTACTTAACAAATTTTTAGCACATTCTTTACCCCCCAAAAGCTCCCAGTGTGTTTTTCAGATATTAGAAATAAAGTTTTTATAGGAAAAGGAAAAGGGTTTGGGAGAAAGGAGGAAAAAAAGCTACTGAGGCCTTTGATTCTGGGTTACAAAATTCAGCCTGTGGTGTGTTTTTAGGTCATAGAGCTGGGCCACTGCAAGGTCTGACTCTGTCAGGCATTGCATATGCTTTCGTCCACAATATAGTGGTGAGATATATAGTAGTGATACAGTCTGCTCTCCACAGATTCTGAATCCGTGGATTCAACCATCCACAGCTTGGAAATATATATATATATTTATTTAGAAGATGTCATCTAACACAGATGACATCTATTTCCAAGCTGTGGATGGTTGAATATATATATATATATATATATATATAGTGGGAAAAAGCTGCTCTTGCTGCCGGGGCGTTTTTCCTGTGTTTCTTCGGTGCACTATATATATATATATATATATATATATATATATATATATATATATAAAGCAAACCTTGATTTTGCTATTTTATCTAAGGGACACCATTTTAGTTTGCCATTGTATTTAATGAGACTTGAGCATCCATGGATTTTGGTATCCATGGGGGATCCTGGAACCAAACCCCAGTGGATTCCAAGGGCCAACTGTGGTATGTTTTAGAAATGTTTTAAAACTATGAGCTCAGATAAAGGTGCTGAGATAAGCCAAGGAAGGAAGCAAACTAGCTCAAGGTAATTTATAAGCAAGAGTCAGACTATAACAACAAAGAGAACGGGGTAGTGTTGGAAAGGAATGAGTAATGTGTTTATAAATGAACGTGAATTAAGCCCGCCTGAAGTTTGAATTATGTGTAATTTAATTATGTGATTGTAACATTTGCTGGTCAGTTCTGGCAATGAAAGTCACTAGACCAGAACTATAGTTTTCTTAATAAAGGTTTCTGGCTTTTTACTACTGAACCTGAGTTTCTGAACTTTGGTATCCTGCTGGATATCATAGAATCATAGAATGGAAAGAGACCTCAAGGGCCATCCAGTCCAACCCCTTGCCATGCAGGAAGACACAATCAAAGCACCCCCTGTGTCAGATGGCCATCCAGCCTCCGCTTAAAAACCTCCAAAGAAGGAGACTCCACCACTCTCCAAGAGAGTGTGTTCTACTGTCAAACAGCTCTTACTGTCAGGAAGTTCTTCCTAATGTTAAGCTAGAATCTGTTTTCCTATAGTTTGAATCCGTTGTCTGGATCCTAGTCTCTGGAGCAGCAGAAAACAAGCTTGCTCCATCCTCAGTATGACATCTCTTCAAATATTTAAACAGGGCAATCCAGGCTAAACATACCTAGGATTTGATAACCCTTTAATAGCCCAGGTAGTGATAATTAAGAGGTAGAGCAGGGGTGGCAATGGAGCTTGCTGGGAATGCAGAGGTCCAGACAGGAATGTCTGCAACCAATACGCTCATCACATTTTGCAAGTGTCAGGATTCCAGAGCTGCTGGGACTAGAGTTGTGAACTGTCAGAGGTGTGTGCATAGCTCTTGGGAGAGCTGCCAGAGCTTGTTGCTACCAGCAAGTTGCCTTTGATTTCTGTCAACCTTATGAATAAGAGACATGATTCTCAAATGTCCTGCCCCAGCCTTGTAGTTTCAGGGTTGTGGCTTCCTTTATTGAATGAACCTATCAGTAAGGTGGTCATCCTCTTTTTATATATATATTACGCTAA